TGTCAGTATTGGCATGTGTAGCATTTTAAAAGAGTGAGTATAGTTCTATTTTATTTTTAGAATGTATTGACCTTAATGGAATAAAATGCCATTTCATAAACTAATTTTCCTATAGGCTGGTGTCAAAAGGGAAATCTTTCTTTGTGGACTGCTGAAGGAATATGAATCTATAAACTTCAGCAGTTTCTTTGTTTGTTTTTGTCTTTTTGAGACAGGGTCTCATTCTGTCACCCAAGTTAGAGTGCAGTGACATGGTCACAGCTCACTGAAGCCTCAACCTCCTTGGCTCAAGCGATCCCTTCACCTCAGCCTACTAAGTAGCTGGGACCACAGGTATGTGCCACACCCAGCTATTTTTTTATTGTTTTTTTTTTTTTTTTTTTTTTTTTTTTTTTTTGTAGAGACGGGATCTCACTTTGTTGCCTAGGCTGGTCTTAAACTCTTGTGCTCAAGTGATTGGCCTTCCAAAGTGCTGGGATTGTAGGCTTGAGACACCATGCCCAGCCAACTTTAACAGTTTTTAGCCAAGGCATGGCTAACTAAAGAATAATTTTAAACTTTTGTTTAAATAAAATAATAATAAGTTGAGTAGTAGCAGTGTTTTGTTCAAACTAAAGGTGCCCTTATCTGTTTAACCATCTCCCTTCCTGATAATCTTGTGCCTTCGTTCCATAGCACTCCAAAATTAAAGGTATCAATCCAGATTGCCCAGTGACTCAGCAAAATGAGAAAAATCTCACTGGAGTCCAAAGAGAATCCAGAGACCAAATGCCTTGCCATCCAACCCTATGGTCATATGCAAGTTTCCACAGGTATTCAAATTACATTCAGGGAAAAGGATCAGGGGCTCATAGAGTAGAAAAACATAGAGTAGAAAAACAGCCCTGATTGATAGTATAACCTCTAAATTGAACGAATATATACCTAAAGGAGCATTTTAAACAGCAGAAAGCGGTATTTTCCCTCCTTAACAAATATATGATTTTGTTGGTTCTCATGTTAGCAGTAGTAATGGAGGGTAGTGGTGAAAAGGGTTGGAAAGGGTTTGGTGGATTGGTGGAAAGGGGGACTGCAGAGTTTAAAAAGTCAATTATAAAGGTAGTCAACTATATAAATTAAAATTACTTGCTTGTATTTCTGAGCCAATGTATGTAACTATTGGCCCCTATAAAGATAGAAATAATGAAATAACTTTATGACAAGTGTTTCAAACTAGAAAAATAATACCAGCTCCATCTACAAGATTTATAGAAGTATAAGTATCCAGCATGGGAGGGTGACCAAAGAGAATAATAGGAATGGTGACAGTAATAAAAGGGGAACAAAGTCCGTCCCAAACAGAAATTTAAGTTTTCATGAATATAGCCAAAATTTTTAAAGAGAGATCTTAAGAAGAGGAATTGAATGTGGCTAAACAACATAGTTTTAGAAAAATGTGACCAACACTACTGTATTTATCTGTCTGGTGAAGGAGAAAGACCACAGCCTAGGCTTTCAAGTGAAGAAGTGCCTAGTAAGAAAGACAGTGACAATCTATTATAAAATAGACTCAAACAATCCCTTAATCTAGGTCTTCAATCTAGATGGAAAATGTCTGAATACTACACCTGGACTTGCCAACTATTTTTAGGATAGAGAGCAAGGGAAACTGTTTTTATCTTGGGACTTGTATTGATCCTGATTTAGTGCTTTGTACTCCAGGGCTCCCAGAAAGAGGTGACACTTAATAGTGACAAGAGGTAACATAATTTCCTGGTCTTATCCATAGTTTCTATTTACGACAGCTCTACATCAAAGGTTAGGAATATAAAGAAGAGAAGCAGTTTCTTAGGAAGAGTAAGCCAATAGAATAATTCCTAGATTCTTAAAACTTTTGACAGCTATATTAAAACACTTAACAATTTGATCTCTCTAGAAAAATACCCTTAAACATTATGGAAGATGAGAGAGCGGTCTAACTGCATTTCAGTTATTCAATAATTCCTAAAAAGTCAGGTGAGAAGTCTATCTGATAAATTCCTTGAAAAGCCTAAAGAGTTCTATGAAAACTGACTAGCTATTTTCTATTTTTATTATGAATGAAATAGGAAAAAATAATAGACAAATCTCCAGGCATGAAGAGATCAACATAATTTGCATCTCCAATTTTCTTCCACCTTCACTATCTTTTTCTTATTTGGCCTACTTCCACTATTCTTTTCTGTCTTAAACCGGTGTCTTCATGTCTACCACTGAACTTAAATTCTTAAAGGGCTCTGATTTTCCTCTTAACACTGCTTAGATGGTACAATCTTGCTTTGTGTCAACTCAGGTAGAAACAAGGTTTGACTTTTACAAAAGAAACTTCCGCTAACATTTAAAGAAAAAGTTAAAAGTACTTCTATATTGACCAAAGTCTTGACTGGAAGATAGTATGACTGGCATAGCTTGCGAGATCTTTCTGTTTTCTTTTCTTAGCCATAATCATTTCTTATGACCAGATTAAATTATTCTGATTCCTACACTGAGGCAGACATAGACTTCCTCCCCTGTCATATTGAGGTTCTTAGGATTTAGGGGTTTTTTGTTGTTGTTACTTTCATATCAGAATCTCTTTGCCAGCTCAGGGGTCTAATGAGCTCCTGGTCTACATTTATCTGTGACTCATCCTACTTTACCTTGAGTATGTAGATGAAGAAGGCACATTTGCATCTGAAAGAAACATCTAACACAGCACTTATCATTGTCATTTGCCTTTTCTGAATATTACTGAACTCTAGAGTCACTGCCATTCCATATATTCCTGGAGTTTGAATTTCTGTCTGGTCTAGTCTAAAGAATCTTCAGAAGTTCTTTAGATTAATTTCTACCAGCAATACTTTACTTTTCATCTAAGTTAGCAACCCAGTTTAACCTCAGAGTCAGTTTTTTGGTAGGTGATCTCAGGCATGATGCCTGTTCTTATCCTGCAATAAGACCTCTCCCATTATAAAGCTGTTGCTGTATTTTAGATTGTCTGATGCCTTCTTTAGCTCTCATCAATTTGATACTGATATCAAGGTTTTGCTCAATGAATATGCACACATATTACTGCTTTTTCCTCAGATCTAATAACTTAATAACTTAGCAATTTGACATCTAAATAATCATTTTAAATAATCTAAATGTCTTTAGATGTTTCATTTATTCATCTTTGTTTTAAATATCATTTTTAAATGTCCTGAATGGTATTGCCTAGATTTTCTTCTAGGGTTTTAATGTTTGGGGTTTTACATTTAAGTCTCGAATACTTTGCTGTATAGCCTTTAATTCCTACTCTTTCATTTAAATAATCTAAAATGTCTTTAACGCACTCTATCTCTTGTTTCCTCTCACAATCTCGCCATCATCCTAAGCTTTGGCTTGGGCAAAAATATATCATATTTTCTTTGTTGTTTGGTCAGGTTGTATTTGAAATGTCTGTTAGATCGCAGTAGAATTATCAAGCAGGAAAGGAAATATACTAGCTTGAAACTCACTGAATTGGTCAAAACTTGTGTGGCAGATTGTACTTTTCTTTTTTTTTATTATTACTATACTTTAAGTTCTAGGGTACATGTGCATAACGTGCAGGTTTGTTACATATGTATACTTATGCCATGTTGGTGTGCTGCACCCATCAACTCGTCAGCATCCATCAACTCGTCATTTACATCAGGTATAACTCCCAGTGCAATCCCTCCCCCCTCCCCTCTCGATTGTACTTTTCAATGATGGCAGCAAAAATCTCTCCCATCCTGCACCCTCCTCTACTGTGATCTTCATAATATCCTATATAGAGGTGGGTCTACCTCTCTTCTTAAGTCTTGGTAGGCTTGTTACTTGTTTATAATCAATAGCATGAGGTTGAAAGTGAGGCATATGACTTTTGAGACTGGGTAAGAAGAGGCAATGCAACTTCTGTCATGTTCTTTGGAACACTCATGCTTGATGCCCTGAGATATCATGTAAGAAGTGCCAGCACTCTGAGGCTGACATGCTGTGAGGAAGTCAAGCTGTGATCATCAGTCTGGCTTACAGTCCAAACATGTGACTGATCAAACCTTTAGATGATTCCAGCTCCTATGCTGTGAGTCACCCCCAGCATGCACACCTTCCCAAAGGGTTAAGCCATGTTCCCTGTGCCCTTTTCAAGCTCCTGACCCACAGAATATGTGAGTATGATAATGTAGTTGTTACTTTATGCCCCTAAGTTTGCAGAGGTGTGTCACAAAGAAATGGTAAGTGACTGTCTTTCATCACATCTTTCATTTCAGTGAAAGATGACCAGTGTCTGCATTCTGGGTACAGACTGAGTAAAATCAGGCTAAGCAAAGTAGACTGAGAAGGAAAAGCGAGTGGGCCAGAAGGAGCACCAGGAGAGTGTGTTGTTATGAAAATCAGAAGAAGAGAGTTGAGCTTGGGAGGGATACGTTTTTTAGTGATAACAAGACTAAGAGTATGACTGTTGATCTCCTCCCTTCCCTCACAGATAGGCTTTAGTAAGGGTAGAGAAAAATAAACCACTGAAGTTGAGAGTTAAAATAAAGAAAACATTCAAGTACATTCTAAAATGATATTTAAAATGATTATATAGACATCAGATTATTAACACCATCAGTGTCCAGCAGATATAATTTCCCTAATTCATTTACAATCCAAATGATAGTTTACATCTTTCCCATTCTCTCAAAAGCTAGGTAAAATTGACTCAAAACTCCTTCCTAAAATTTTCTGGACTTTCAGAGGCTTTTGTTCTCATAGCTACCTCTGGATTGCTGCTTTTTCATGTGCTATCTCTGATTTGAATCATATCTGCTCAGCTGTGGAACATGGACTCTTCAATTTACACATTCACTCATACAAACTAAAAAAATGGAAAGAAGGTAGAAGAGGAATTGAAATTATAACAATCCAAACAACTTTGAGTGGAACAGTAGACACAATCATTCTTAACAGGTTCTTTGTCCATCCCACAACCCTGTCTTACAATGAGCTCTTACCCTATACAGCTTCATATCATCTCTCTGGTTGATCTGTCTTCCCTTTCTGTCTTCCTTCCTCTTCATTCACTCTTAGAAAACTCAATCAAATCCAAATTATTTCTTACTTCTACAGAGCAATTTTTCTTTCAAGGGGTTCAGGAGACAAAAATCTTCTATAGGAGTTGTTGTGGTTATGAACAGATAGAAAAGAAGCTATGTTCTTACTTTTGACTCATACTTAATGTTTTTTTTTCCTAGGCTTTTAGTTGGTCTAAGTGTCCTGGTATGTTGTCTTAGTCAGCTCAGGCTGCTATAACAAAACAGCATAGACTGGGTGGCTTTATAAACAAGAGATTTATTTCTCAAATGTATTCAGTTCTGGTGGGTGAGAACTCCAAGATCAAGGCACCGGCAGATTCATTTAGTGAGGACCCACTGTCAGTTTCATAAAATAGCATGTGTCCTTACATGGTAGAAAAGGGAACGGAGCCCTCTGTGTTCCCTTTTGTAGGGGCACTAATCCTGTTCATGAGAGCTCCACCCTTATGAGCTGATCATCTTCCAAAGGTCCCACCTGTAAATACTGCAGTTCTCTGGGTGGGCTTGGACTGATGCAGTTCTCCATCCTTTCTCAATTGCACTTCTCAAGAATAACTGTAGAATGTGCTGGCAGTGCAAAATCTTGAGATGAAGGGGAGCTAGCTGGGACAGCCTAGGCTTTGTTCCAGTCTCCCCTCCCCTAGGACAGGATAGGATGTCCTTCAGTGCTTTAGCTCAGCATCTCCTGTGGCATCACAGTATGAAACACAGGACTGGCTGCTTTTTGTAGCCCCTCTGCTAATGTGCAATTGGGACATGTATAGTTGAGATTCCATGTACCCCAGCCAGCTTTCCTCAGCCTTGGGAAACTAGCTCACCATGAATCCTAGCTTCTGCTGTCTCTTGCTGCCTATCTGTAAGTGGCAAATCTGCTTCATGTAATTTGTTGTGTGTGGGTGTTCTGTCTCACCAGACTCAGATAAGTTGATAGCCAATGCGCAGTGAACCTGCTTCACAAATACCATCACGTATCATCACATTGGGTGTTAGGATTTAACATATGAATTTTGGGGGGACACAGACACTCAGTCTATAGCATATGTGTTCTGACATTTATGTATTTGAAAATATCTCTATGTTTGCTTTCATGCATAAGGATAACTTGACTGTGTTTTGAATTTTTAAGCACCATCATTTTGTTTACAACTCTGTGGTTGACACTCCTTTCTTTCTCCCATTTAGTATCATAAAGAAGAATATTTGAAGTTCTATAAATATGTTGTTTTACATGGCAAAAAGGACTTTGCAGATATGAGTACATTAAGGATCCTAAGACGGAAATATTACCCTGGATTACCTATGAGGGCACAATGTAATCACGAAGGGCTTTCTAAGGAGGAAGAAGGAGGGTCTGAGACAGAAAAACTGGAAGAAGCTATAATATTGGCTTTGAAGACAGAAGATGGGGACATAAGTCAAGGAATGTGGATGTCCTCTAGAAGCTTGTAAAGTCAAATAAATGAATTCTCCCCTAGAGCCTCAAGAAGGAACACAGCCCTGCTGACATCCTGATTTTAGGATTTCTGACCTCCAGACTGTAAAAGAATTAATTTATATTGTATAAGTCACTAAGTCTGTGGTAATTTGTTAATCAACAATAGTAAATCAATATATGTTACCTTTAGTTTCATAAGTAAAAATATCCTCTTTGTTATTTACATTTATATGAATCCAAATTTTCCTAGAAGGATTTTCTGCTTATCACAGCAAATTTATTTTTAAAAGAAGGCAGGTTTGATTCTTCAAAGGAAGTTTGTAGTCTAAACTATAGGATCTTTCCTGAAATATGATAATTTTCCCCAGTTTGGTCATCCACAGAGAGCCATCTGTGCTTTCCCTGTCTTGTTTTATGGCCAAAAAGAAATGGACATGGTTTCTGTTAACCTGATATAATTTCCTACTAGAATATGTCTTGTCTAGATCAACACTTTCCTTTGTCATAGAAATAAAATAACTCAAGCTCCTATGCAATGTGAGTATGGATAACCTAGTTGCTTCCCAAATAATTTCTGAGGATCCTAGGTAGGTGCTTAGAAATTTTAATAACTACTTGCCACCTCTTACTATGAATCATTCTCTACTTAGTAGCTAGTCTTAAAATATAGATAATATCATATTATTTTCTTATTTAAGGAAGAGTGGGTTACTTATTTTACTTAGGAAAAAGTCAAAAATACTTAAACTCACAAATTTCTTTGTGAATTTAAGTTCTTTGCCTACCTTTCAGAATCATTTTCTGCTATCACCTCTCATAGTTGTTATTTTGGGGCCTTACCCAAATTTCTTCCCACCTCAGGACCTTTGCATATGTCCTTTTCTCCATGAAATGTTCTTTCTTCCCCAGTTTGCCTGCTACCAATTCCTCATCTTTCAGGTCTCATTTCAAGTGGTACTCCCTCAAAGTATTGCTCCCATGATCCTGCCTGACTGCTGAAATCAGCTCCTCCTATTATGGCTCCTAATAGAATCCTACAGTTTTTTCCAGTGATTATTTAACAGTTGTTCCTTCTACAAGGCTCTAAGTTTTAAGAAGGCAGGATGGTTTCTTTTATTACATTCTCCCTCTTCAGTCAAGCTCAAAGAATATATGAGTGAGCGAATGAATCTGAATTGCTGTTTCTGGCCATTCCATCTTACCCTCTGTTCTATTCCGTCAACTTATCTTGACCTTAGAGCATGAGAGCGTCTCTCATCTTTGTTCTTCATTCCTCAAGGCAGTGCTAAAGGAAGGCTGACACCAGGTTGCAGAGGTTTTTTTTCTTTTTTTTTCCTTGATTATAATCTTTTATTATTATTATTATACTTTAAGTTCTAGGGTACATGCGCACAACGTACAGGTTTGTTACATATGTATACATGTGCCATGTTGGTGTGCTGCACCCATTAACTCATCATTTACATTAGGTGTATCTCTTAAAAAAAAAACTTTATTTATTCCTTCAAAATATTTATTGAATATCTGTAAACTAGGTACTATTCTAAATGCTTGGTGGTTCACTCTTGGTGTAGGGACAAGCTTCAGTGGTGCCAGGTCATTGCCCTATGAGGCCTCGCAGACATATGATACGGTCCAAATGTTTTGCTCAACATAAATGAGGCTGTGCTCTTGATGACATGATGCCTGAGATTTATCGTTAGCCCTAATACCTCCAAATCTGAAGGTGTGGTGGTATTAATTGGTTAGTATATTCTCTACTGTATTATGGGTACATTGCTTTTCTAGAAGAGGATGTTTGACATGGGTACTCCATGCCTTCCAACAGTATAATCCTATCTGTATTAATTTTAACAGAAATGCCCCCAAAGTTTCCTGCATGTGGCCAGTATTCATCTTTCCTTTCTGTTGCTACCGTAGAATTATTTTCCTCCTTCCCCCTTAACAATATTATATTGGACATTTCAATGGGAATTTGGGAGCAGGGAGATAAAAACCTGCTCTTATCATTACATTACCCAGAAGTTTTCACAGATTTCTTCATCAGTCTATGGTCTCCTTACTCTCTGTTTCCTATTATCTATTTATCAGTTTATTTTTGTTATGGGTTGGAACTGGATTCCAGGAAACTATTATGTACATTAAAAACACAAGAGTATCTATGCAGCATGAATTATTCTATAACAGATTGTCCAGATAGTTTCAGAGGAAGATTTCATGACTCGAGTAACATTTGCATTTCATAGTTGATTGAGTAGCCTTATGAAATGAATCGGTACTGTCATAAATACTTCACATTATTGACTCACTCCAATATACTGACATTTGAATAATCAATTCAACATTGCTAACTTTACTTTTAGGGAAGATTTTTGTAGCCTTCTTCTCTATAACTTGGAAGGGGAGAAGAGAGAAAGCTCCATGATGTATGAAAGGGCAGTAGAATTCTTCTATTTTATAAGTGAATTGAAGTGGCATCAGATGAGACCCAACCACATATGTGTGAAAATATGAAATAGGAAAATGTGGATAATATTCAGGTGTAAAATGAGATTACTATGTAAAAAACACTGTCCTCAAAATAGAGTTGTACTTTTGAACTATATAAATGGGGAATATTCTTAGAAGACTGAACTTCCATTACTAGTTATGGTTTGTTATCCATTAGAAAGACTTCCTAAGAGTGGCTTATAAGTATCCTCTTAAACATCCTTGAAAAAGAGTAATTTTTTTTTTTCTTATATGTCTGAGACAGCTAAATAAAGCACGGTCTTTTCAGAACTGGGATCAACATATCATTAATTTTATCCAATTGCTTATTGAAGTGGTCCTAATTGTACGACATTTTTTTTCTCACCTACTATATCTGGTAGATAGGAAGTAGAGTAGAAGCAGCATCCTACATCCTTTTCCACCAGGAAAGGGAGTATTTTTGATATAATAATATTACTCTGGGCTTTCTATATTGCAAAAAAGGAACATATATTCCTACAAAGTATCTGCATTCTATGTAGTACTAAATTATCGTCCCTTAGGATCTTTTTTAAAAAATAAATGTGGTGAAGTGGGCATATCATTAATTTCATTTTACAGAAATAACACAAATGAATTTTTCTTTGTTATAATGAGTAAAAAGTGACAGAAGTCTAAAAATAAAGCATTAATCTACTCTAACCCTCTCTATATGCTGAGATAACCCAATGCAATCAGTATCAAGATGGTATATGCCTTCCACAACTTCTCTATGTTCAAATATATATATATTTATATATACAAAAATAATATGTAAAACAAAAAAAAAATGAAGTTTAGAATTACAGTAGTCAAAAAAATATGGTGTTGGCTAAAGAATAGACCATTCTTCCCTAATCCCAGCAGTTTGGGAGGCCAAGGTGGGCAGATCACGAGGTCAGGAGATTGAGACCATCCTGGCTAACACGGTGAAACTCCGTCTCTACTAAAAACACAAAAAATTAGCCGGGCGTGGTGGCGGGTGCCTGTAGTCCCAGCTACTCGGGAAGCTGAGGCAGGAGAATGGCGTGAACCCGGGAGGCGGACCTTGCAGTGAGCCGAGATGGCACCACTGCACTCCAGCCTGGGCGAGAGAGAGAGACTCTGTATCAAAAAATAAAAAATAGAAATAAAAGA